GACAGTTTCATGTTTATTCATGGTTAATTAGTTGTAGGTTGTTGCATAGCAAGGCCCTATGTCTTCCTAAGGCCCTAAAGTCTTAGTGACTTTAGGATTGATTGTTGAGGGCTAAAAAACAACTATCACCTGCTCTGACTCATCCAAGTTAAGAATGAATCTCAGAAGTCTCAGGTTTCTTCAGGAAGCTGAGTTCAGAAATTCTTCATGAGATCAGGTTAAGGTAACGTTTCTCTACTGTAAGCATTAATAATTGTTCACAGAAAGCAAATATGCTGTAATTATATATTTATGATAGGATTATATTTTTCTTAGTGATTGAGCACTTAGCAAGTCAAAATATTTTATAGCAATTTTTTTTTTTTTTTTACTACAAGATTGAAAAAGTCAAAGGGTACAGTATTTGAAAATATACTAAAAAGATGTGGATTTCTCTTTGTGGGAAGCTACCAAGACTGAGAATGAATGTGATTAAGGTTAAAAGATCATGAGGGAATATGAAATGAATTGCATTCTCCATCATGTATAACAAATTAGAATAAATAAATAATTTAATAAAACAAGATCATAAGGGATATCTACATGACTAACACCATTTTATTTTTCAAATTATGAACGTACTAACCTCAGGACTCTCTCTGAAAATTTTCCTCCGCCAAAAGAAGAGGGTAAGGGCTGATTGCAAATACAGGTTCAGTGAAGGTAGAGGTTCTAATTGTAGTCAACATTTATTTGGTTCTTTTCATGTGCTAAGCTCTTTATTACATTATCTCACTTAATCTTCACAAAAACTTTATGGAAGAGGTATTCTTATTTCTTCTCACTTTGCAGATGAGGGTGCTTGAAGCTTAGATAGGTTATATTTGTCCAGTTGTGCAGTCCAAAAACCGTGTAGATGAGATTGATGACGACTCATTCTCAGGGTATCAGACAGTGCATGGGGTATTTGGAGATTCTTGCCTTGAATTTTTTAAGGTTTCTGCCCCTTTTAAACATACTTGTATCAGAGCTAGGGAATCCCTTGGGGGCATTTCTTGTATTTTATTTTTCTTTAGGAATTCTCTCTCTTTATCATTATCATAGAATCTTAGGACAGTGGCCTTGAAAGAGATTGGCTAGACTATAGCCTGTCCTCTGAGAGTCCAAAAACAAAGAGCTTTTCACTTGTTTAGGGATATTGAGAAGTTATTTTTTCTAATCTGGTATATCTTCAGGAAAGGTCTTCACTAAAAAAGCAAAACTATTTTTTAATAGAGTATTCTAAGTATATATTCTGGCAGCCAGGAAGTTTATGTAAAATCTAAAACCTCAGTGATACAACTGTTTCATAGCTGAAGAGGAAATTAAGGAATGACTAATTATAACCTTGTTTTAATATTCCATTACTCAAGCCACTGTGGAGGTTCATTCAATATCTGTTTATTAAGTACCTATTATGTGTAAGGCCTTACACTTAATTATACTGAACCTGATCTTGGAAATCTTTAAGAAAAACACTAGATAAACCCAGCACCCCAGATAGCTTAAGTCAGATTTTTAGCCTTTTGGAATAATGGTGATGACTTGCCATTCACTATATATTATTTGATTTTCATTCTGAGAATCCAACTGAGATAGTACTATTACCCTCACCTTACAGATGAGGAAATTAAAACTCAGCAGCATTAAGCAAGAACCCAAGGTGACATGGCTGAGCCTTGGCCATGTGAGCTCCTAAAATGCACAATAATAGTTTTAATATAGTACTTTACAGTTATCAAAATGCTTTTACATTTATTATCTCATCTAATTTTCCAAACAATCACAACAGTAGTTATTACTGTAGTCATTTTACAGATAGCATTTATATTTATTTATCTACTTAATTTGTGCTGAGAGTGCCAGATACTTTTATCAGATGTGGCCTAGTTCATGTAGTGCTTAAGAAACACAATAAATATCATTATTCTCATTTTACAAATGAGCCACTGGGGCCCCAGAAGTTTAAGTGACTTGATCATCACAGTAGAGAGCTATAATTCTAGTCTAGGTTTGTCTGCCCAGTCAGTATGCTCAGCCAGTTTGCCGTGTTCATGTTGCTGTGTTACACTGCCTAATTTCTGGATGAGAAACAGTAGATTCATAAAGATGGATAACCCAGGTGAAGTCAGATTTTTAGTAGCAGAGCTGAGACTCCAGCTCAGATTCTCTCATTAGAAAAGCCTATCCGTGGGACTGGGATAGTGACTCAGTGGTAGAGCGCTTGCCTAGCATATGTGAGAAACTGCATTTGATCCTCAGCACTGCATAAAAATAAATAAATAAAATAAAGACATCGTGTCCATCTACAATTGAAAAAAAAAATCCCACCTGTTTCCCACTGTACTGGGCTGCCTTTCTGCATAAGAATGTCTCTTACATCTAAGTTAAGTACCCTAATTACTTTGTGACATGTTTAAACTAACTTTAGTCATTTTAGTCATTCTTTACATTTCCCTGTATTTTTTCCTCCATTTTTAGGCAAAGGTTCCTATCCCACTACTAGCACCATTTCACGATAAAGAAATGGACATACAGGTTAAACTACTTGCTTAGGGTGTTATCTGATGAAGTTATATTAGAACTCAAATTCCCTGTGCCCACTTCATTTAGCTATGTGGTTCTTGTCATTTCTGTCTGTTGGAAATGTTGCTTGAAAGTAGGCTTACTTTTAGGAGGTTGCTTTCCTGAATTGTAAGGAATGAATCTTTTTCCATATGAAGACCGTTTAGCAGTTCCATGAATAGTGAATTATATTTGTAGGGTAAGGCAAGGAAGTATGTCAGTATCAGATATGTAATAAGGACCAGTCACTCACATTTGAAATATTGCCAGTCTATGTAACCTCAGTGTTGAAAGTTTTAAAACTCAGAAGTTCATTACTTTTTTTAAGTTTTTTTTTGGTAGTTATAGATGGACGGAATGCCTTTTATTATATTTGTTAATTTTTATATGGTGCTGAGGATCGAACCCTGTGCCTCATGCATGCTAGGCAAGCATTTTGCCACTGAGCTAGGCTCCAGCCCAGAAGTTCATTACTTTTAATAATCAAGTATCTTTTAGATTTCTGAAGGAAAAGTTTATGTTGACCATTTACTGCACTTTTTATTCAAATTTCAAACTTAGGTAAATATTCCTTAAAATTCAATTGGATACAATTTTTCTCTTTGTTGATGTTAGTTAGCATGAGATAAATATCCAGATGTAGTTAATTATTTCCACTCAAGGAAGTATGTCCTATTTAGACAGTCTTTAAATAAATTGTTTCTGAATTGAACAAATAAACAAGAAATAGCTGAAACTCAGTTGCTTTGACTGTATAGAAACACCGAGGGACTTTAAGAGGAATCATCTCAGTGAAAATCCTTGTTTTATAATATACTCCTTTTTATTTTTAGAGATAAACCTAAATTAACTGTTTAAATACATTAATAGTTTTTGAAAATTAAGCTTTTCATTTTCAAAGAGTGATAGGTGATAATTTTAAGTCTATTCCAAATATATTCATTCCAGTTCAGCTGTATTTTAAACATGGAACTAGCACTATGTTCCTAAGAGCTGTTTTTTAAAAAGAGAATTTATACATACTGAATATCTCCCATTTTAGTCTTCATCATGATAGTTTTCTCATGTGAATCTTACACCCTGTGATGTGGAGTTATTGTAATCCTTCCTCCCTTTTTTTAGATGATGGAGGCTCAGACTGAGTAATTAACTTAGGTCATACAGAAAGAAGTCATCTCAGAACTAATTCTGACCCTAATTCTGAACATTCTGAAGTTCATGCATTTTCTGATATACCAAGCTGTCCTGTAAACAGCCTGGTCTATTAGATTTTTAAAACATACAAGTGAAACTTGCTTATGATTTTGTTCGCCTAGTCTTCAAGTAAACAAAACCATTTGAAATAGTGCACACTTTCTTATGTTAGGAACATATAGAAAATTTACCTTTTTTTCTTATATAGACTGAAGGTCTTTTAATAAATTTATTTGGCTTTGAGTTTTTACCTCCAAGAAACTCCATTGAGATGCATCAAAAGACATTGTTTATTCTAAGCAATTAACCCTAACTAATATTTTCTGCCCATTACTTTTATTATTATAGTGACTGTAGGTAATACTAGGCCACATTCCAGATATGTGACATTTTAAAAACACTTTTCAATCAGATTAAAAACATTTCCCTGTTCTCCTGTTTTGAGTCACTTACTGTTAGAAACTCATATGCTTAACATTAAAACTGGATGGCAATGAAGCTTTTTGGTTTTTAATGGAGTTGACTTTGAAATTAAGTTTGCTTTTTTTCTTAAAGGTTATTTTTCTGGTTTAATTTAGCAGGAATTCTTAAACCTGCTCTCCTCTTTTCTACTCCTTTTATATGTTGCTACCTCTGTTCTAACTCTTACCCCATCCCTTGATCTCTATGCTAGAAAGTACTATTCCATTGACATGCCTGGGAAGAGATTGGACAGTGCTGCAATCATGGAATCATGCACTTTAAAACCAAAAAGCACGTCTAATAGTACCTGGATATGTAATAGTAAAGGATACAGTATATGTTCTTTAACCAAGTTAATTTTTCAAAAAATGAAATTCTAACTTTAAAAAAAATAAAAATGTATCAATGGAGGAATTCAAGAGAACACAGAAAATAAGTAAAATAAATTCCACTCTGTAAAAATAACCAGAGCAGATTGTTTTCTAAATGACATTAAACTATCCAAATGGAAATATTTATATATAAGAGAGACCGATAGTCCTCATGTATGATCCATGTCATTGCTTTCAGTAGAATTTGAAGTCTAGAAAGCTTTGTGCTCTTCAGGGCATTCAAGAGTGAGGCTGTAAGGAAGAGTTATTTCTTATATGTTCTCATTTTTTTTTCTGCTTTACCCTTTCTAAATTTGGATTGCTTGTTTCTAAGGCTTCAGTGTCTGATATACTAAAGCTTTTTTTTTTTCTTCTTCTTCTTTTTCCCAGACCCCAGGCAGGCACAGTCTTCCCCACCGTGGTCCTATGACCAGTCTTACCCCTCTTACCTGAGCCAGATGACGTCCCCATCCATTCACTCCACCACCCCGCTGTCTTCCACACGGGGTACTGGGCTTCCTGCCATCACCGATGTGCCCAGGCGTATTTCAGGTAAAGACTGAGCTTTAACTGAAAACCCACCCCGGTGCAGGGGTTGGGGAAGTGGGATGGACCAAGCCTGTCTTATCTGTTGTGCTCACAGTAACTCTCTATTAGAGGCATGTGAGCAAGGGAATGACAATAAGCAACTGGGACTTTTGAATTATGGGATTATCAAACATTTGAACATTTTAAGTTCAGAGACTGAAAATCCCCAGAGCTGGCACACTTTTCTTAAGATCGAGTTTAATGTCACCCAGTTAGTATCCTGTTGAGGTGGGGGGGGCACTATCTCGCAACTAGGGCCTTCTCCTGAGGGTCTTATGCCTTCCTATGCTTGTGTTCCTTTCTTTTCCTAACATCTGCCTGTAAACCAAATTACAGATGGATGGTATAGCCCACTATTCCTAAAGACTTATAAATGCCAGGATTCCATTCTAGCCAGTTTCAAAAGAGAGAGAGAGAGAGAGAGAGAGAGAGAGAGAGAGAGAGAGAGAGAGAGAGAGAGAGAGACAAAGACCCTGGAAACTTAGGATCCTTATCAGAAACTAGTCATTTGAAGAGCAATGAAGCCTGGAGGAGTCCCAGAAGGCAATGTGTGGCTCATGAGTGGCCCACTCAAGACCAAGGCAGCCTTTCCAGGAAGCATGCAGCACACTGCTGTCACTCTAATGTGGTAGCCTCAGTACCCACAAATCCACTATTTAAAAGGTACCCAACAAATTTATGCCTCATGGTGGAAGTACATGTGCTAAAAGAACATGGCTGCTTCCTTCTTATCCTGGCACATTCATCATAGGGAGCCAGAAAATGTCAGTAAGACTTTAGGCTAACAAGTAAAGAAAAGTTAAAGGCCTTCAGCCAATCATTTGAGTCCTTTGAATAAGAAAAACAATCTGTCCATTCACCCTGACCTATGAACTACAATGCTGTCCCCTGTAAGAATAGCTAAAGACACATGCATAGAAGCACACACACATACTGCATCCCATGTTGCCAGACTGTCTTCTCAGCGTTCGGGCCCCAAGCACCTGAGTGACTTCTGGCCAGGTTAATGCCTTTCTTTCTTTCTCTTTGTGTTTCTGTCTCTGTTTCTCTCCCTCTCTCATTTTCTGCAAAGCTCGAAGCCGTTACTCTCTCCGCTGAGTTGCATCACTGACAAGCTGAAGCTCCACCAGCAGGCTTGCAGGTTTTGATTAGTTCAGACTCCTTTATTTCTTTCACCTTGGGAGGAGGGAAAGCTTTGTTTCTCAAGCAAATAGCAGGAAAGGTCTCTCTGGTCCTAGTGCCTTCACATTTTCTGCAGCAGATGGACTTCCATGGGGGTGAGTAGGGAACAAACAGGGGTGGAGGGAGAACTGCAAGAGTCTTTGGAAAACCACTTTTCATTTATGATTGCTATTACTATTTTTATGAATCACACGGTATTTACTGGAGAATTGTGCAGAGTATAGACTTTTAGTTATCAACTCCCTTGACTGGAATCTCTATCTCCTTTAGGCAGACGTTAATTAAAAAAACAGGAAAGGAGGAGTAGGCACAGAATGGGATAACAAAAGCTGGTGTCGGGGTGAAGTCCCAGAATTTGAAGGTGTTGAGTTAGTTCTGGTCCTTCCTTCAGTATTTCATACCAAGAATCTGTTTTATTTTACATAGGGCCAAAATTTGTGCAAATTTATTGTGTGTAGAGGTCTCTTTGGGCTTCCGTCTGCCCAACCCTCTGCAACTGAAGCAGATTTTGCTCTTTTTTTTTTCTGTAGCAGTACCTAGAAGAAAAAACCTCAGGGGACCGTTATAGTTATAGAGACACTTATCTATAGCATTTGCTTACTGAAGTGTATTTGTATGTGAATTCACCAGGAAAACCATTGACAATAACATTGAAAGGATGCTGCTTGAACAGATAGTCAACACAGCTTATCATTTACATGTGTAGTGAAGAACAAGTCAGATTATTTTGAGTCAGTTTATTGAGAAGTTCTTAAAAATTTCTATAAAACACACCATAACTCTTCCTGTTCCACAGAGAAGTGGGTAGGATAACTGGTTAGTTATACAGCTGTTTATTGATCTTTGGCCAAATGTAGAAATGAACTCCTGCTTAAACTGGTTTAAAAGTGAGTTTAATCTAGTTTTTTCCTCCTCACAAGCATCTCTGTGAGTTATTGGTAAAGAAGTAAAATGGGGCCAAGGTGGGAGGTTCTGTATAAACATACAGAGAACAGAAAATCCCTCTTGTCAGCATGTAGGGAAACAGGAAGAAACAATTAGACATGGACTGTCAGGGAACTGGAGGAACCCTGCTTCACCTGACCTTGCTCTTGGCTGCGGAGTTGTGCCTGCACACTGGAGCACTGCCTGATGGACTTGGGGGTCATGTCTGGAGTGGGCACCTTCTTTACTTCACTGGGACCCATCCTGAGAACCTCTTTGGAGTCGAGCCTGACTCATAGGTTTCTAGAGGCCAGGTTAAACAGTTTCTATTTTATTATTATTCTCCTCAATATCTAACTCCATCCTTAAGATCCATGACTATAGAGCCTTCTACAAGTGAGACTTCATAATGAGGTGTGTGTGTGTGTGTGTGTGTGTGTGTGTGTGTGTGAGCTTCAATGTCTTAGTAAATAAAACTCTCTCGACTGAGACAACTCCTGGGACAACTGCTGTTTCCCTGTAACATGGGCAGCTAAGCTATAAACCTCCATCAACATCCCTAAACAGTCCTGTGATCCCTTTTTGAGATGCTTTCCAAAGCAGTACATCTTTTCATGAACAGAAATCAGTCCTTATATGATTTTTGGGTGAGAAAGAATACAGTTTTTCACTTACATAGTAAGATTAGAGGTACAGATCCAAGTTTGAATTATAGCTTTTATAAATATCAGGCAAGCTTCTTACTTGTCTGAAACTTGATTTTATTATTTGTAATAGGGATAAATATTTATCTCCTCAATTATTGTGAGGGTATAAAGGACTCAGGATAGGCCTGACTGATACAGTATGTGCCAAATAGATCATAGCTGATATTTTAAAAATTATATATCCATACATAATTTGTTGGCAAGTCTTGGCCTAAATGAATCAAGTAAACAAAATTTTAAACTTTTAAAGGGGATTTAAAAAATGGATCACCACAGAACACATAGAAAATAAAGTCCTTTGGAATATTTAAATATTTAAATGAGCTAATATTCTCATGGCATTCAGAAAGCACTTAACACAGTACATAGTGCATGGAAGTACTTAATACATTTAGAGGGAAGGAAACAGGGAGAGAGGAATAGAAGAAAGGAGAAGTACTGGGGACTAAATTAGAGCAAATTATGTTCTGTACTTTTATAATTATATCAAAATGAATCCTAATATTACATATAACTAAAAAGAACCAATAAAAAGGAAAGACATTGTAATACAATAATAAATTCAACTGACGTATTTAAAAAATATTGAATAATTGAAGAGAACCTAAAATAGGAAAAAGTTAAATAAATTTTGGTAGAATTAAAAAAAGTACCCACACATTTTCTGTTTTTATTATGTAGATTTAAAATAATATTTAAAGGGATAAAAGCAACTAGGTGCTATTCCCAAAAGGTCAATAAAACATTAAGAAAAAATAGCTATTTAATTATGTCATAAAATAGAAAATGTTGAGTTACACTTACTTTGACTAGGCATGATAATGTTCTGTTCCAAGGGCTTAGAGGAATAAAGAAAGATTCTGTAGGAAGATATTTTTAGAAAGAAAGAAATTGTGTTTCATCCTAAAATAACATGTCAAAGAAAGACCATGATTTAATCTATTTAAAGATCTTTAGAGGACCTAATTTTACAATTTCCTTTATTATTCTTCTTCCTTCAGAATACTGTTTCAAGTGTGGCACAGTGCTAGAACTTAGTGAATTATAATAATGATGATGATATTATATCATTTAATTCCTGTAGCCTTCATCATATCCTTTTTGGAAAGAAATTATAAATGAAATAAAGATAAAATAAAACGATAAAGGTATATTATCTACAATCCCTACTTAACTGCAGAGAAAGATGTATACTACATATTTTAAAGTTCAGAGTACAGTATAAAGACTCAGGAATATTTCCTTAATTTTATATACCTTAAATATTGTAACAAGAATCATAATAGAGCTGAATTCAGTGGCATATAACTGTAATCTCAGTTTCTGGAGAGGTTGAAGTAGGAGGATTACAAATTTGAAGCCAACCCTGGCAACTTGGTGAAATCCTGTCTGAAAATAAAATTTAATTAAGAGGTTTGGGGATGTAGCTCAGTTATAGAATGCCTCTGGGTTCAATGCCCTGAACCCCATCACACAGAAAAAAATAAATATATAACAGTTATAGATTATAGGTTTATAACTGAACAATATGTAATTGCCACAGAATTGACAAGTAGGGTCTACTTTACTGTAATGTGTTTGGATTATACTCAGTTAAATTGTAAAGACTAAATACTACATATCAGAAGCCAGTCTGATGACATTATAGTGCTGAAGCAGCCCTGTGGGAGTTGGTCCTCCTCCCCCTCACTTACTATGATAAGTATGGTCTTATCATGTAATAAGCTGTATTTAAGTACCATCCTTTATCCCCCAAATGATTTTATATGTCATCTCAATTTTATATGGTCTTAAAAGAATATTTCACTATACAGAGGTAACCAAAGTTATTTCTAAGTGAGTCTGTTAAAAGTGCATGGTGTGACAAAGCAAGGACCAGCAAATTGTACACAACCCTAACTATTGCATGTCTTTATAATTGTAATGATATCATCCATGGCATTTTGGATGTTCAAAGCACTTGTGAAGCTTGACACAAGATTATAATTACTTTTCTGGAGGTTATTACAAAATAATTGCTGACCTTCAAAGTGTATTTGTATTTATGTAATAATCCTATCATGAAAAGAGGCACAACTGTTTATAGAGTCTGGTTCTTGACTTGAAGGTCAGATATGAACTCTTATTAATAATTTTCCTAAAGAAGAACCTACGTGATTTTTTTTTTTACTGTACATAACTCCTTCCCATCTCACCCATTTGAATGAAATAGCTTTGATTGACCCAACACTGTCCCACTGTTTGGCACACAGGAGGTGGAAGGGACTTACATACATATTTGTCTCTGATCTTGGTTATTGTGTACTTCTCTGATGCTCTCTGGAGGAATCATAGAAACTTTGGAGATATTCATTGGAAATGCATAGGGAAGGGTCATAGACGTTGGCTGCCTTAGTTGCTCTGGAAAGTCACTACATGTTATATGGAAGATTTTTCTCCGTAATTGTGAGATTTTTAAAACATAGAACAAATTTAAGAACTATAATATTTCTGAAAGTTTTTTAAAATACTATTTAAGCAGATAGTCTTGAGTTTCTTCATTCAAAATATTTTTAAAAAATTTCACTTAACTGCACAGGACTATTGAAGAATTATTCCTTTTTCTGACTCTCAGTTATCAAACTTCTCTTTCCAAAGGTCAAAGAATAGTCATTAGTCTAGTAAGTAAAGTTAACTAAGAAATTATTTTATCACTACTAGAAAATCTAGAAATTGCCAGTGGAAAAATGCATTTGGTTACTGGAGGTCTGTCAGGAGGATTGTTTTATGTAATTTCAAACCCAGTGGTGTTTGATATTGTTCACTTAAAAAAGTTCCTTGTAACCTAGTCTTTACCAAGTCCCCTGAGTCAAGTTTTTAAAACCAGCAGCTTCAGTAATGTGCCAAGTATATGTGAGCATTCATTTAACCTAGCAGCTCTAATGCACAGGAGGGAACAACGCCTTAAGAAAGGTTAAAAGGAAAACTCCAGCAATTAATACTAATAAACCAGAAAGTTAAAGTAACCATAATAAAACATCTACTTTTTACTACAGACCCATTCCTTTATTAAGAGCCGCCTGTTTGGTAAACATACCTCTGCCACAGCAGCCACCGGCAAGTAATTAAGTTTAATAGGAGCTGCTCTTATTTTGAAGAAGTTCTCTGTTTAAAGCCACAGAGGGGGAAGTTATTAAATTTAATGGACCCTAAACAAAGGCAAAGCCCTGTGTTAACAATGGAATGCTTAATATTCATTTTTATCAACCATGATTGATTGGATGTTTTTTTGCATTCTGTAAGTCAAAATTTATTATGCTTTCTTTCCCTAAAAATAGATTATCTTTTGACAAGAGTAGATGTGTTTTAATCTAACTTGGATCTCAGTTTACTCTAACTTTTGATTTACTTGTGCTGAGGACCAAAGAAGTGGTTTCTATTCCTGCTAGATCAGTTGGAGGCAGTTGACCCTGCTTACAAAATTGACTTAAGTTTGATTATATGACTAATTACAGTTATTTGTAGCTAGACTGAGGCACGAAAGCTCAGAATGAAACCTCTCTATATAATTTGACTCTGGTTTTATACATGGTTCTTGTCAGTTGTTGTTGTGAGGATTTAGTTCTGACACATGTACAACCACCCACACATAGGGAAAAGATTTAGTAATGAAAGGAATCATGCTTATGCAGGAATGGTGAACACATGGTTGTAAATTTTATTGAAAGATTTGCTATAGTCTCCTTTTCATAGAAGTAAACCTGGGAGTGTGAGCCTCATTTCACCAAAAGTATTAATTTTCTCATGATACAATGGTTTCTCTGGTGCACTGTATCTGAGAAGAAGGTTGAGGCAATTTAACTTAGGAAACCAGAGTTTTATTTTCAATGTCATTAAAGATTCTTTGGTATTTGAAGAAAAATCAGTTCATTTATTGTGTCTCAGTGGTCCTGTATAAATGAATTACTCAAAATTGCCCATCTATATGACTCTAGAGGTTCTGCAAGGATTAAGATGACATCTGTCCATTTGTTCTTAGGACTTTTAGTAAAGAAATTTACCTTACCAAGTGAATGCCAGTGGAAAACTGCATTGCATCACTAGTTTCAAAAGAGTAGAAAAATGATATTATGTATGTGTTTTTAAATCAATACATATTTTTTAGACTAGTTTTAGGTTTACAGAAAAAGTGAGCAGAAAGTACAGAGTTCCCACATCTCCCCTATTATCTTCTATTCTACTTTGTCCCCTTTACTTACATCTTGCATTTGTTACAACTGATGAATCAATATTGATACATTGTTAGGAAATTAAGTCTATAGTTTACCTTAGGCTTCCTTCAAAGTGTTATGCAATACTATGGGTTTTGACAATATGTATACTACCACGTATCCACCACTACAGAATCATACAGAATAGTTTCCCTACCCTATACACCCCCTATTTATCTTGCCCTCTCTTCTCTCCTCCCAAGGAGAGTTGATATAAATGACTGCCTAAAGGGGAATGTTTAGAAATGGGCAAAATTAAGAAAAATTAGCAGCTACAGATATTTTTACTGTCTCTTTGGTTTTGCCTTTTTGAGAATGTCATATAGTTGGAATCATACAATATGTAGCTTTTTTGGACTGGCTTCTTTCACTGAGTAATATGTATTTAAGTCTCCTCCATGTCTTTTCATAGCTTAAGAGGAGGGAGCATTTTTTTCTGCTATTTAATAGTGTTATTTTGTAAGGATGCTGTTGTAATTTTAAAAACATAAGGATGTTCTCGTTGCACCTAGAAATAATATCTCCCTAATTCCTTTTGTTACTTTGTCAGTGATCTTTCTTGTTAGAAAATATTTTATGCATTTCTTCCTAAGGAAGTAGTTCCTCTGCCATATAAACTGTTATCAAATGGTTTTCCATATCTTTAGTATCTTTAGTCTGTTTTTTTAATTAAAATATTTTTCTTAATTTTGCTCATAGATAACATTTCTAAACATTCACCTTTAGGCAGTCATTTATATCAATCAACTCAAGTATAAAATAGACCTAGTTAAAGATAACAATCCATTTATGCAATTACTTAGCTACCTTCAAGAATATTTGACCCTTTGGTTAAAGAGTGCTCCTTTTCTCTTGCAGATGCCTGGCATTTCTGAAATATGCCATATGCTGCTTTCTACTTCCATGCAGCCCACTTCTCTGCATTGGTAGGGAGGATCCTGTTGTTCCTCTTAGGAATTCCCATTTCAGCTACTACTTTTCTCTTAGTGAATCATTCTCTTATCTAGAATCTGCTCTGTGTCATCTCTATATTTTGGACACACCTCTAATGTGTACACATCTTCTTTTAGTATAATATTTTGATTATGTGCTGTTTTCTTTCTATAGAAAGTAAACTTCTCAAGGACAGTGCCTTTGAATCCTTGTAGCTTGGCACAGTTTTTGGCATATAGTAGGTGCTTGGTAATGTGCAGTGAAACAAGTATTAGTGAGAAAGAAGATAGGGAAAAAAAAGGAAGAAGGGCAGGTAGAAGAAGAAAGGGAAAGAGAAGAAAAAAGATATTGTTCACCTGGAATAAGAAAGGGCAAAACAAGGGAAACTTTATTACTGATAAGGACAGGAAATAGTGCAGTAAGAGTGTATATAAGCAGTATATATTTTTTAAAGTCTCTAAGACTTTTTGCAATGTGTTTCATATTTAGAACACATATCAAGACTACATCTGTTTCCAGAACTGTTAGCAACAGTTAGTAATAATGCCAAGACATACTTTAGGTCCAGTTTGAAATCAAATGATCAAATAGTATTTTTGATTTCTAATTTAGAATCTGACAATAATTATAGTCATCATGTAATAAAGTGTCAAAGTTTTTTTTTTCTGAGAAATGATAGAAATTATATTAACTAAGTTGTAAACCAAAGGCAAAGGTATTCCTCTAAAAGAGAGCAAAAGTTCTGGTTTTGACAACTATTATTTCTCATGAACTCTTACCTTCTTCAAGTTGGAATTTTTATATACTCCTGTTCCATTTTGAATCTTTCCTATGGGATGTGGTTTAATGTCACCTCACTGTCATGGTCAGTGGTCTGTGGGTGCACTGTAGTTTATCAGTGTCCGTCTTAATGCCTGGTACCAGAGTTGAACTCCTCCTTTATTTTTAGCCTTTGCTAGGGTGGGCTAAAATGACTGTTTTTCTTTTGGTGACCACATTGCACTATTTTTTCATATTTGTCCGCTCAGTCAAGCTGCATTTTCCCCATTTTTTAACTTTTTAAAGCTGCTTTTAAAAATCCGTGTATGATACTTTCCAATTGTTCTTGTTAGGCTTATTGCATTTAATTCAGGTGATAATTTTTGCCTACCAAGAGCTTTATAGACTTTAATAATGTCATATGATAATAGCCTCTTGTATTCCTTCCTAGGTAAGAATCCTTTTTTCAGTTCACTTGAATCATTTCAATTTAGCTCAGCAAGTATTTAGCATATACCTAAAATGTGCTTAGGCAGGCAAGGAATGAAAAAGACATAAAGACAAGAAATTTTTAGTCTTACCAAGAAAACAACAGAAAGCCAATATGACACAGTTTTATCATGTAGCCAGCCTGTGCAGATGTTAGAATAAACAAAGAATGCCCAGGATTTTAGTGAAAGGAAACTTTTTGTTTGTTTGTTTGTTTTACCCATCTGCTCTATTAATTCACATCTATAACCACTTTAAAACCATTTCCTTTAGGAAAATTTAAAAATCCATTCCCTCTGTGATGATACTTTGAGTTGCTTCAATGATTATATTTTCAACTTGAAAAAAATTACCTGTGTTGTGTGTGGCTTCATAATGTTTTTTAAGATATGACCAGGATATATATATATATATATATATTTTAGCTAGATTGAAAGCTCCCCTAGCTAGATTGAAAGCTCCCCTAGGCCAAGGGCCTGGCCTCCTGATCCTTTTCAATCTCTTTGTAATTCCTACTTCAGTACTCTTTATGTGTATGCTCATGGGATGTACTTGGCATTCAGCAGGAAAGGCTACCTAGTAGTCAGTGCTGCAAGCTTCAGAGTTACTGATGGGATGTCTGTCATTAGAGATTGGCTAATAGATGTAGAGGTGGGGTACTGTAGGAGACTAATGACATTTCCATTTACCTTAATTTCAACTTCCATAAATACAAGGGTCTCAACACGTGATGTATTATGGAATTTGCTAATATCTCAGATGAAGTGAAATAACGTTGTTAACCCTGTATTTTAACATATACCCACCCATGTACATGTATTTACCTACTTGCTGAATTTAAAATGAATATACATACGTATAAATATTCTTGACTGGTCTATTTTTGCTATATTAATAAAAATAAACCGAGGTAATACTTTGTTCAGGAAAAATGAGACCATTGAAATCACTAGGTTTTAGTATCATTTTGTTACTTCATTGAGCATTAACCTCTTAGGAAATATTAATTGATCACTGCTGGTAGAAAAGGAACAAAAAAACTGCATGATTATGTTAAATTAGCTCTTAGGTTTGCTAATATGTAGAAATAATTATGAGGGAAACTAGAAAATAGGTAACTAAACAAGTAAAAAACCCTTTTTATAATTAATATATGATAGGATTAATATATTATTATAAGATAAAATTTTACTTTTTTTAGCTGAAAAAAAGATAAGATCTTATATATTCTTGTCATATCTTAAGAAGCATTATGAAGCCGCACACAACACAGGTAATTTTTTTTCAAGTTGAAAATATAATCATTGAAGCAACTCAAAGTATCATCTGTACAGAGAGAATGGATTTTTCAATTTTCCTAAAGGAAATGGCTTTAAAGATTATAGATGTGAATTAATAAAGCAGATGGGTAAAACAAACAAGCAAACAAACAAAAAGTGACAGCACTTTTATTTGAATTGTTCCAAGTTATTTGTGGACAGTACTTTATTTTGTCTGTCTTCCCGAAGAGCAGCAACAGGAAGGCATATGTTATTTATTTAATTGGGACAGAGTTTAAGTAACTCTGTCAGAGGTAAACCAAGGACCCCATTTGAATGACTGTACTGTCTAAATTACTGTTTTTTTTTTAATGTGACTCAAGAAATTACTGAATTTCAAATCCCTGAAAGTCATATAAGTTAAAATAAAATGGGGCCCAGGTAGCATTATTCCTTAATATCTCAAAGGATATTTTCCTTAAATAGGAAGATGTCATGTCTTTTCCAGAGAGACTGTGGCCTTAGTGGCTAACTTAGAAATAAAACCAAGCATGATTGACTAGAATAAGACCAGTGTTTCAGTATCTGAAGTTTACTGCTCTCTCTCCAACCAAAATGTTCACTGTTCCAGCTCCCTGTGCTAATTAGTAATAATGCTATATAGTGAAGAGAATAATAATAACAAATAATAATGATGGTTATAAACACACTTTACCTTGTGCCAAGCAGAGCAGTGATTCATGATAAATCAATAATTAATCCATTGATGTGGTCACAATAAATCCATAGACAATTAAGAAGGATCTTATCTAAATAAAAACTACAAAGGAAATAAAACCAGGCTTTAGAAAAGAGGAAAAAAATCTGACAATAATGTTGTGGCATATAAGGAAACAACCCCCTAATTTCCTAGACTACACCTTGGAAAAACGACATATTCTCAGCATGGCTTTAAAGGTACATGTAGAATTGACCAAAAGATGCCAAAGAGGAAAGAGTTGAGTTTGACCCTCTGAATAGACAACAGAGAAATTTAAAGTTGTCCTCTGACGTTCGAAGTGTCACAGGTATCCTTTTAAGAGTTCATAAAACCTCAGATAACTTCTGTAATACAGCAAATGGTTGAAGCATTTGAATTGGAACGTACATCTCAAAAGACGATTAAATCAATACTGATAAAATAATAGTCATTCCATAAAATTGTGTTGATTTGGTTTATCAGGAAAACATTTTCCCATAGACAATTCCCCAAGATCCAGGCATATGGCCTCATGATTAAACACTCATAGCATTGTTGGCAGTGTGTTGGGCACAGAGCTTAGCTAAGAATTGAGGAGCCTCTCTTTTAACTTTGGATGTGCTCCTAGGTTCTTGAGCAGGTCACTGGATTTCTATGGGTCTTAGTTTCCTGTGTGTGAACTGAGTTAGTTGGGCAAGATGTTTTCCAACATAGCATAGTTTTGGATGTCTGTTTTTCTAAATTAAAGCCTGAAAAGGTAGGTTTTCATACAGGAAAGATTTAGTAATCATTATATCAGAAAACTAAATACTATCATCAATAATAACAACAAAGGCTAGGATAGTATTTCATTGAAGAACTAAATTAATAGGAATAACTACAGATTGATGGTAAGAAAATCTTTCTTTTGCACTTCAGTAGATTCTGAAGGGAAGAACCTAAGGTCAGGTGATTAAAGTAAAAAAGTTATACATCTAGAACTTGATGTTTGATTCCAGTAGAGGCTTAAGGTGAAACCCCATATATGTGTGTGTGTAACACAGTCCATGGACAGATTTTAAACCTCAGATTTAATTTAAAGTTAAGGAACTTTATTTTATTGATATTTTATACCATTTTATGTAATTTATTTGCATTAATCTTCTTTACCTGAGAATGGCTATAATGAGGTATAATTTATCTTTCTGGAGAAATGAGCCAAGAGTTACCAAGACACAAGAACAAGTAAATTCTGCTGGGACCAGTAATCCGTATCTGTAATTCTAGCTACTCAATAGGCTGAGGCAGGAGGATTGCTTGGGCCCAGGAGTTAGAGACAGCTTGGGCAGTATAGCAAGACTCTACCTCAAAAAAAAAAAAAAAAAAAAAAAAAAAAGTGAATTCTGTTAAGAAAACATATGAGATCAGAGGAAAGGCTTTCTATATTGAAGAAATTAGATATATTTAGAGAAAGTGTGATTTGAATCACAACAGAGTTCCTTTTACTAGTTATAGATTTTAAGTATGTGAATAAAGTATACTCCCCATAAAAAAATGAACCATTTTTGTCTTAGTGTTTTATGATCACATGATAAAAATGTCTATTAATACAAATTATTACCAACATTAAATTCACTCATTCATTGAACACTGTTCTACTCACTAAATGGACTCAGTAGATCCTGATGGACAAGACAGAAAAACGCATGGAGCTTTTGCTATTGGCTTATGACATAGAGATTAAACACTTAGTCTTTGGAACCTGATTTCCTGTGCAAGTCCAGACTTCTTCACCCACTAGCTGTATCATTGCAGAGTTTACTCAGCTGGTTCGTTCCTCATTTCTTTGTTGGAAAAATGGGCATATGGTAATAACAGTGATAATAGTAATACTTTAAACAATGCCTCAAAAGATTGTTTAAAGAATGTGTAAAGCCCTTAGAGTAATGGCACTCAGTAAATGTTAGCTGTTACTGGAAAGGAAAGCAATTGAAAATACGAAAATATTAACCAGAGATAGATATGCACTATGAAAAAAGTAAAACTAGGTGATGTGAGGAGGAGTCAGTCTTTGAGCTGAGATCTCAATAACAAGGACTTGGCACTGTAAAGATCAGGAGAAGGGAGAACATTCCAGGTGGTAAGAAAAGCTAGTGAAAGAGCCCTTAGGTAGTAAGGTTTTGGAGTGTTCAAGAAGGATGCCCCATGGCTGGAGTATGTAGACGACAGGAAGTCAGGGACTTCAAGAGCCTCTACTGATCAAGATCAGGGTTTTGGATTTGCTGTTGTGTGCAGTGTTAACTTTGTCAGGTGTCAAGCAGAGCCATGATGCAGACTGATTTCTGTTTACAAATGACCACTCTCACTGTTGGGTAGAGAATTAGAAGTGGGTAAGGAAGGAAGAAAAGAGTGTGGTCTGTAGGTGTGGCAGTCACTCTTATGGAAGGATGGTGGCTTGCCCAGAAGTGGTGGGATGGAGCTGCTGGAGTGGAGAGAAGAGCATTTGGCTAGGTCATCAAAAGCCTTTTGTAGATGCTTTCTCCCAATTGTTAGTTTACTTTGAAAGGAGTAATATTGCATCTTATAAATTTTTAATTATTGTTTTGATACTATTCATACACTCCAAAATGAAGTGGTAATGCAGGAATTACTTGACTTATTAGGTGAGTACAGAACCACCCACCTGGAAAATTCAGTCCAGAAATCTATTTTAAGAACCAAATTGTTTGGTTTGGTTAAAAATTATTAATTTTCAAAAATCAGATTAACAATAATCTGATTATTTCCAGTAGCGTCCCTTCTTTGGCACTGTGTAAACCCAGACTTCAGTTTAGTAGTGTATAATGGTGAGATGAATTTTGAGTATTGTATGTTCTCTTCCTCTTAAAATGCAGGTAGTATGTTTTCTTATCTTTCATAGCTTTTTCACACCAGTTCCTTTTGCCGCTTTTAAAATGGACTGAAATAAAAATTGCCAGGTGTGACTAAGCTGGCTCTGCTGGTCATGTTGGGTAGTGTGTGGCAGTGTCCTTGAAGTAAAGAGAATGCTGAGCAAGAGACTAGTAGTAACTCCAGCTTGTAAGCTAATAACCCTGCATTTGAGAAAAGTTCAAAGCTGAGCAATATATTAGCACTTGTCCTCTACATGAATGGAACAGACATCCAGCACAGCTTCTTCCTAGAGGACTGGGAAATTGGGGCACATCTGAAATAGAAAGGCTCTTTAACTAAGGATGAGGAACTCATTCTAAGCAGAACCTTAACCACAAGCTATAATTAAAAGAGAAAGCTGTCGGCATAACTGTTGTACTAAGCCATTACTCCCTCCTCAGATCCGTTAACTGTGCCCTAAAAAGAGCTTCTTTCTGGGCTGGGGCTGTAGCTCAGTGGCAGAGTGCTTGCCTAGCATGCATGA